CTCGACTTTCATATGTAATATGTTAAGAACTTTTCCTTAATTATTTATCTTGTGTTTCTACCGTAATTAAAATGAAAGTCTCTGCCTAAAAACGCAGTCATTTCACTAAAAAAAAAAAACACCCTCATAGGGCTTCAAATATGAAGAGAATCGTGTCCCATTATCAAACATTAAGTTTTGTGGTCAGATATAATTGGTTAGGAACTCAAAAAAAAAATCTTAATTATTTATAGTAATAAAAAGGAAAAGTTCTCCACACCTCCTAATTTTGTCTTGGGTGAATGTCCAATTTGCTCCTGCGGGAACACAGTAAAACAAAATTAAAATTTATTAATTTATATGAGAGCTAAGGCCGGAGGAAGGGAGCCTGACCTCGGCCACCGCTTTTGTACAGTGCCACGTCAGAGTCACCAGCTGGAATACGGTTTTCTAGGGAAGAAAAGAACGACTGACAAAATTACGAAATTGCCCATATTTATGAGTGTTGCGATGGCCCACCTCGGTTCGAAATTTGAAGAAAGAAGGGTTTCCACTTACCACCCGTTTGGACAAAATGACAAACCGCTCCCCTGATTTTTATGTGCGGGAAAATGATCTCTCCCCTCTCTCTCGCTCTCAATTACAATCTTGAAGTTGACAAGTCACTGTATAAAACTACAAGTTGATTACCCGAACGATTCTCTCCCTCGATTTCAGTTTTAAGCAGTTTTGTCGATTGTTTGGTATTTTTAAAATAAAAATTTTAAGAAAATGCAAAAAAAAATTTATTTTTTGATTAATTTTCAACTTTTTTGTTTTAATCACTATTTACATGCTTTTCGTATTTTAGTAGAATTTTATTTGAACATCTTTTTAATTTTTTTCAACAATTTTTTGACTCTCCAAAACTTGTCCGATAAGAACGGTTGAATCGGTCGGCTTACCGGTTAGACCAATTAAACCGCCTTCGACCCAATATCCAATTGACCTTTCTAATTCAATTTTGCAAACACTGTTCCCTCCCCAAATGACTCTCTCTCACTGCATACAACTACAAGTTTATTCCCTAAACGATTCTCTATCTCTAGAATGCAATCTTTGAAATGACATTTTAGCACTAAACTATATGTTGGCTCCCCAATTGTCTCTCCCTCTCACGGATGACACAAGTAATTTTAGATCTGAAAAATCAAGCCCAGGAGTTGACAAGAAGAGCTTTTTTTATCCTCTCTCTTTAGAAAGGCTCTCTCTCTCTATCTCTCTGTTAGAAAACCAGGACGAGCGAACTCGAATTTGCCCCAGTAACTTGAAGTCACCGTCTTGACAAAGCTGAGTATCCCCGGGTTAGGTGATTAACTTGGGGAACTTGAAAAAATTTCAAAAACTAAAAAAAATTAGTTGCAATATTTTTTTATATTTTTAATCATTTTGACAAGTATTGGAAAGTGTTATGACAATGAATGCTTATTTTTATATTTTCTCTTTTTTATTATTTCTAAAATAACCCAATAACAAATTGATTTTTTCAAAATTTATTCTTTCATTATTTTTCTAACTTCATTTAGATGTGTTTTGTTTAATTTTACTCTAAACATATTTTCTTATTTTCTTTTAACATTTTTTATTTCTTTAACACCTTTTAAACCCGATCCGATTCGGAGAGAGTAACACGGACCCGTCCCGAGTTACTTGGCCCAGGCGCCGGCCAAGTCCCGTCCCCAATTCGTGGTTTTCAACACCTCTCTCTCTCTCTCTCTCTCTCTCTCTCTACACACACACACGACGACGCGTACGTACTACGTAACGTAACGTAACGTAACCGTAACCGTAACCGTAACCGTTACGTTTACCGTTTACGTTTACG